AAAAAAAAAAAAAATCTTCAAGTGAATATGTCTTCCAACTACTCATTCCTTTACTTTTTTACCTCCATTCTTTTTTGAAGTTTAAATGTACACAATCTCCAACTTAATTTAGTATAATTGTATCATTTATTCATCTACTTAACAAATGCTTATTAGGTACTGTATATACGTTATGTAGGTATCCGTAATCTAAAACACCTTAGATTGATTATGTGTAACTGTATTCAAAATGTTGTGTGGGAAAGGCTAAAGGTATCCAGATACAGAACAATAGTGAGTGGGTTCACTTCAGTCTACTCATCAGGAAAGCTCTCACTGAGAAAGGGATATATAGAATATGGAATTTCCCACATGCATAGCTGTAAATTATTAAAATCAAGACAACATGCAAAATGCAGAAAGACTGGGTCTGGGTGAGAAAGTAGAAGAAGACCTATGGGGCTCAGACAGAATGGTTTTAAATTAGGCTGCAGACTAAGTAGCTTAAGTAACCAGACAGGAGGAGCTGCCATGGATTTTCTTCATGCACCAGCAGGCCATTTGGTGTTGTTATTATAATAAAATATATAATATGTAAGTAAGGAAATGTTAAAATAAAATTTTTGAGAAAAAATAATTTATTAATTAATCAGTTAATAAACAAATAATAAATGAACTGTTCTAAATCAATGCTGAACCTATTGTCATTAAGTTATTTCAAGAGATGTGACCTAAATATGATTAAGTGGATCTAACAGCTCACATTCATGGAATATTTAATAAGGTCAAGAGAGAACATGGATAATTTAGGAGAGAACTGTAGGTGTATTCTGAGGTGCTGTCCCCGAAAATTAAGAGCTGGTATGGTTGCCTGCCCCTCACTTAAAACATGTGGGAAAAAATTAAGAAGATAGTCTGTCTCATGAAATCTAAAGAACACAATGGACCTATGTTTGCCTTCTGTCTTGAATATTGATAGTGAGAGAAGGGCCAGTAGCTACTCTGTAACATAATGGAGCAGTGCTGCATTGTATGATCTGTGCAATCTGAGCTTTTCTGGGGGAAGATCTCATGTTTCCTGAAGGATAGAATATGGTCCATGAGAAAGAATCCCTCTGGGATGCTGCCTGAAAAAGTGAATACATATCAGTATATTAGTGGAAATCACATTGTGTATCACAGGATGCCTGGTGGCTGAGAACAGAATCTTGACAAGCCAAAATACAGACATATTTCACGTTCCTCACGTTAACAGCAGGAAAAAAGTCCTCAGATATTTGGGGGCCTTTGAAGAACTAAGGAGGGAAAAATGAGCTTGAAATGATTTCTAAATATAGCTCATTACAACAATGATCAAGTAAAAAAATCTCACTCTTGTTATAAGATTAATAATAATAATAATAATAATAATAATAAATGTAGCTCACGTCCATAATAATTAAGTAAAAATGTTCTGACTCCTGTTACCTTTAAAACCCTCTCATTCCAAAACTCCACAATTCCCTACAATGCATGTTTTCCCTTACTTCAGGGAGTAATATACCCAACTCATCCAATTACAGGTGTTTTCCTGGTAACCTTTAGCTAGAGGACATTGATAAATGTTAAGGAGAAAAGACATCTATCGTATTGAGGCATATTTCTACCAACATTAAACTCTCCTGTAGAATAAGATTTAGAAAATGGAAACTTTAGGGTAAAAGGGAAATTCATGAGAAAAGTAATTTGGGAAACTATTCTTGTGTGTATTCCCACACAAGACACGATAAAATTTCATTGTGCTGAAATGCCTGCAATTCTGCTTTAATTAAAAATAAGAAAATGAGGGACGTGTAAATGGCTCAGGAATAGTGTGACTTCTCTAAGCTTGGCTGATTCTTTGAACACAGCTAGATACATAAGAAATAATTATCAACACCCAAGGAATCAATATGAAGACTGAGGGAACTATACTGCACATCTACAAGTAGAAAAATGACCAGATCCTGGTAGGGAGGAACTGCAGAAATTTGATATGGGGGAGAAAAGAACTGTGAGTGCTGCAAAATGGAAGGGGCCGTGATTACAGAGAGAGGAGTAAGCTAGCAAGCAAGCGAGAGAGAGAAAAAGAGTAAAGCAGCAGGCAGAGGATTGCATAAGGAAAATTCTTCCCTTAATCCATTGATTGGGAAAAGGAGAGGGGCTGATATTTATAAGTTATCCTAAGCAGCAAAGCACAAAGTCTGAAGTTTAAAAGTACACGCCATCACCTGGAGTCATGCCTGGTGAGCTTAGCAGTGTTCCTTTGGGAAATGAGGTTGGAAATCTGGGATTGGGCAGCATGATATGAGGGTCATCTGGATCACATGGTTGGAAACAGTTCCTCTTTTTAAAGTGTATTTGGGAGTGGTGGCACAGCTTCTCTGGGTTACAAGAACTGGTGGTGCCAATTTGGTGTCTTGTTCATTAGAATAGGGACATGGACATCAGCTGAGGGCAACAAACTTGATGCTGGTTTTTGTTATGCTTTACCATAAACTCTGAACCAACGTGCAGTCATAAGACTACTTTTCTGGGACAAACCAGCAAATATCACGAGCACACTGAGACCCTCCCTCAGAAGAGCTGTGCAAGTCTGCACTGCATGGGTTCATAAAATTTGGAGTTTTAAAACCCAGCCACATGCCGGAAGTATAACACAGGAGTTCTGTCCCTCCTGAAAGGTAGAAAGCTCAGACCCAGACAGGGTGATGGCAGGGATCTGACAGAGGCTGGACACACAAGAGTGTGTCTCCTCCAGGGAGGAGAGAGTGGGGTGAGACCATCTCAACTCCCCAAGTCCATCAGATGGACAAACTTCAATGAGCAACACAATGCTCCATAGTGGAGATTAGAGCATTTTACACCAAGACCCACCACCCTGCACCCTGAGAGTACATCTCCACTGCAGCACGTAGACTTGAGAATCAGTGCAGCAGGGCTCTCCCCAGAGGACCAGCACAAACCCCTCGTACCAAGTCTACTAATCATCGAGTACTCCAAAGCTTCAGTGTAGGGGATCTAGTTGCTATTTTATTTTGTTTTATTGTATTTTAGTATTAGTTTTTTTTTTTTTTTATGTTGATCCGACTTCTGTTAACAAGTAGACCAAAACACAGATAGTTAAAACTTGCCACACAGTGGACAATGTCTGAAAACTCCCCACTGCAGTCAAGGAGAAATTATTCAGATGACTGAAATGAAGCTATATATAATCAACCAAAAAATAACAACAGAGTGCATATAGGAAACCCCTCCCACATTTTTATGGACCTCTTTTTAGTATAGGCATTGTTCTCAAGAGCAGGAATATAACAGGCTTACTTAAATATCACACAAAAAATAGTGACCTAGAGACAATGACAAAATGGAGGAATTAACCCAAAAAGAAAGAACATGACAAAGTAATTGTCAGTGATTTAATAAATACAGATAGAAGTATGATGTCTGAAACAGAGTTACAAAAAAACAATTATAAGAGTATGAGCTATGCTTGAAAAAAAAAGCATAGAAAACACTAAAGAACCCCTTACTGAGAGGTAAAAGAACTTAAAACTGGTAAGCCTGAAAAAAAAATGCTGTAACTGAGATGAAAACCTGACTAGATGCCATGACAACAAGGATGGACAAAGCAGAAAAATAAATCAATGATATAAAAGATAACATTATGGAAAATAATGAAGCTGAAAAGAAGAAAGAAAGAAAGAAAGAAAGAAAGAAAGAAAGAAAGAAAGAAAGAAAGAAAGAAAGGTGTTCTATCAAAAGGTAGACTTAAAATACTCAGTGACTCCTTAAAGTGTAATAAAATCTGTGATAGGAGTCCTAGAAGAAGAAGAGAGAGTTAGAAATGAGGGCAGAAGACTGATTTGACTATTCAGGGTCTTTTGTGG